ATACGGTTCCTTGTGTGTACACAAGGTCGAGCAGAATGTCTGCTAGCCAGATCCAACAACTGCCTGTCGTTTTGCAAATCGTGCGCCACTTCTGGTCTGAAGATCTACTCACGTCACGCCGACGTCAGCTACTTGCGGCCCACGGTGATGTCAGTTGAAAAGAGACTTCAAGCCTGTATCGCTACCAAAGGAGGCCATCTCGAGCACTTTCTTTGGTAATGAATTTTCATGTTTTATTGTATATAAAAATAAACTTCTGAAGATATAATAGCTTCTCTTTTTGGAAATATGGTCAATAAACCATGCGCCAATATTTAGTAGCCACCCTGTATAGGCAATGAACACGATGGCTGAGGGGTGAAAGCAAATTAACACGTTGACGACAGCCCCTTGTGCGTGTACCTCGGCAACTTTTTGTTTATTTTTTTCACAATCGTCATAACTTCTTCAATAATTCCACTACTGGTAATTGATGCACAGTTTTTCGGATAAGATAATGCATGCACACAGTTTTGAAATATGAAAAATGCCAAATAAATCGAAAAAAACTAGCCAGAATCGGGTGAAATTCTGACGCGCATGCGCGTCATGCTGTCGTGTGTAGACATCACAATGGTAAAGAGTACTGAGAAAGGGCCTTAGAGCTTCCTGAAGAACTATAGCCCTTTAATGTAAGCCGATATTGGGTGACCAGAGATAAAACTCCCAGAATTTCACGAATCATAAAGTCGATCAAGTGAAAACTGTAATAGATAAGCTATAGAAACTATGTGTCAAATGTCGCCCTTTTGGCCCTCATTCTCTGCGATGGATCTTGTCAGAGCCCAATTAAAATTGTAAATATGGAACCCCTTCCCCAGAAGAGTTTCCACCACTTATTGACATATTTATGAAACAAATAAAGTACATAAGAACAAGGTATAAACTTGCCCCAACAAGGCACATTCCTTGAATAAAACTGTTGTGAGCATTCAGCTCCAGGTGATCTCTTTTCTGATCCAGCAACGAAAATTTCATGATGTTCTGCAAAGAAACGCAAATAAACTTAAATTTCAGATGAACTTTGAACAAACAGATCGAATAACACCGACCTTGTCTTTTCCAGCTGTCAACAGAAACCCGCCGAAAGGCACAACACAAGTGACATTATCGTAGTGTGGTGGATTGAAGTCTACAGCTGATTCATACACACCTTCGCCTAAAAGCATTCCTACATGAATTGACATTTAAGTCTGGACAAAATTTAACAGACGTACGGAAAATGTGGACCAGTCTTCGGAACATTTTGCGAATTTTGGATTTTTGTCACGCCCACTTTGGTGAACGACCCGCCTACCCGCCCACCAATAAAAATAGACCTCCCTTCCCTCGCCGACCTCTGCCTAGTTTTCTTCAGTTCGCAAAAAACGCCAATCGCTAAAGGACACACTTGGTTTATTGTGGGGGGTCCCACTTCAGGTGTCCACTTTCTTGTGCTATGTGGGAGAACTTCTCAGAAGATTGCCCTTTTGAAACCAATTCTTTTTCTGCTTTTGTAGGTTTCTAATGACAGTTATGAACCTTTATCAAAAATTTTACCATACACACCGCTCGCCACGCGAGGGGGTCTCCAAATTCCCGCCAGAATCAACAACCATTTATCACACTGTGGGACGACGTTCTTCCCTACGCTATGTGTGTCGGTACATACTCCCATAGCCTACCTGCCTACCCGTCCCCAACTTGGCCCGACTCCTTTCGAGTAAGTTTCATCGACTTTTTCGCTTGGTCACAAATTGAGCTCATGGTTCGGTTGGAACGGCTCAAAACTTACCTCCGATGCTGCACTGGAACATTTTTACATAATGATCCCGTGAACCGGTGAAGATTCGTGGCAGTCCATCAGGTCCTTCAGATACGGCCAAACACGACACTTCCGATCTGCAATAACCTAATATATGTACTGCGTATGGAATTTTCTTCCGCAAACAATTGCAATACCTCGGGCTATTCACTGCTCCAACGAGTCTTCCGAACGATGCCCACTTGTCAAGATTCCAAATCCTCACATCGCCGCCGAAGGAAGTGAAAAGAAGTTTGCCATTCGGATCAACTTCGGCCGCGTTAACCACGGTCTCGAGGAATGGCACAGTATTTTGTCGTGATCCAGCCGGACCCCCGTCACCTGCAAAATTAATTTGTTTGGGAGACACTCTCGGGATTTGTCAGAGCAAATACAACGGGGTACAAAAGCGACACATCGTCACCTTTTTCCATTGCTTCAACACACAATGAATCTAAATAGATTCGCTTATGAGTGAAATCATTTCGGAGCTATTAGGTATTGAAATTTTTATATGGTACTCACCATCATTCACTTGACCACTTGACTGAAGCATTCGCACACATTCCTGCGTTCGTAAATCCCATACACGGATCTGAAAGATGTTCGTTTGACATGCCGTAAGCGAAATTCGGTGGACCTGGGCTGGATACGAATCTGCTAGCATGCTGGTGTATATTAACCCAAGATTGAGTCTGCTTTACTCGTGCTTATTACTGCTTAAAACTGCTGTAATGTAATGGATTCCAAACTAGGATGTCTGAGTATTAAATGAATCGATCGCGGTGATTTGAAATAAGCTGACAGTAAAGCACTTAATAAACATGCAGCTATCATAGACAGGTCCTACTAACAGTATGGGCGATTGAAAATAGAACAAAAAATAACAAAATTAAATGTGTACACCCGATATCATTAGTCGTAGATATGTGATCTCGTCATACTGTGGACACCTGTTCACGCACGCAAGCCCCGCCCAACACGCGCTAATACCCAGCATTCACATAATCGCCAGAATTAGCTTTAAAAATCTAAAAACGAACTTGGTACATCGACACTGAGATGGCCAGCTGAGAGTTGGGTATGAATCGTACTGCATGAACATTGTTCGGATGCACACCCAACGTCCTTACTTCACTTCCAGTCTGTAGATCCCAGAGTTTAGCGGTACGGTCTGAAATGGCAAACGAAATGTAGTACTGAAGATAAAGGGAATTTTTTGAGATACGCCATGAAATTCACTCCCATAGAGGATGGTACGGACAGTTTGAAAGAGATCTGGCCTGTACCACGAGCTATGGATGTGATGTGCAAGCCAGTATTGTCATTGCTCTAGTCACTTCGGTACCAGTTTAGAGAACATGGAGATTGAAAGGCTTTGCCTGCCCATGCGGAGTTCACGTCGAGATTTGACCCCCCTCCCCTCCCTCTTCTCCCTTCGACCAGACACGCAATGTCGGGATCGAATCGAATCTCAGGAATCAGAAGAGGATTACGCGAGAAAGATGAGTTAAGCGGGGTGGTCTGATGAACAACTCACCATCACCATCAGCCTTAGAGGGCTCCCTCAATACGTTCCTCTTTCCTTCCCAGCACATTCACCATCAAGGTTGGTTATATAGCATTTGATTTAGACCACGAGACCAGTCGACACAGCCAAACCCCCTTTTTGAAATTTTTACCGAAATTTCGAAAAAAGATGCGATAGAAACGATCCCCTTTTCCGCAACCACGGGCCCTCCAACTTCCCCAAATACAACCCCCTCCGCGTTTGCACTTTCCCAATATATAAAAAGATCATAATCAACAACCACACGACCCCTCCCGCCTCCCAAAATCTAAATTCGACCCTCTTCCGTTAGAACTGTACGAACGGATGGTTGACCTTGACACCTTGTGCAGCGTAATTATAGGGTAACTATGGAAAAATCAGCAGACTTCTCTGTCCTCGTCAGTTCAAAAGATGGGTAACATACCTTTCGATCCGGATAGGAGAAGTTCATCGGTGGCTGCCACTGAAAGAACAGCTTTCGAGTGTCCTTCTACAGTAGCAGTACGCGTCACGACACGGTACTGCCCTCCAGTACCTGGTCGTATAGGTACAATACGACCTTGTCTCCTAAAATCAACAGGAACCGATGATGAATGCACATTATGAGAGTTACTCTCCATTGCACATGTGCATATCGCAAGAGGCTGTTTAAGAGTACTGATAAATGCCTATATTTACCCCGGGGCTGGCTCATCTTGAAACATCCAAAATGAACATGGATAGTAAGTTTAGAGCTAAGGCCGATGTCAGACTTTGCGAATCGCGCGATTCGCTAGCGTCTGCGGTCGCGTCGCGGCCAGTGAATCACTCAATTGGCTGGTACCGCAACGCGACCGCGGACGCTAGCGAATCGCGCGATTCGCAAAGTCTGACATCGGCCTAATAAAGTGAAGCGAGACATCTACTCTGCGAGCAGCGAGAATCTCCCTTAAGAAGAGACGATGAAGCTGAGGAAACAAAGCGTCTTAAGTGATGTAAGCAATTTTCAACCAAGGTAGCAAGTACAGCGGATGGCGGTGGCTTGAAAATAAATTAAACCAAGTAATGAGGTCAGTTAGGGTTTCAGCACAAATCAAGAAAAGTATTAGTAATCGAAACAGAAATTAGGTATGTAGTGGCTTGGATTTTCAGTATTCTTGCTTGGCCGTTACGACAAAAATGAGTCCACTTTTAGACAATGAGCAAAAGGGGAAGCTCCAAAAGTCTCCTAACTTTGCACAGACAAGCAAGAAGTCTTGAGAATGAAAGCCACGTAAAATCACACAAATCATCAGTGATAGTAAGTCAGACCGATTCAAAAGCGTTGATGGACTCGCTTCTGTTGTCCACGGTATCAGACGCGCAAATACGGACTTTGTGGTCCGAGTTGAATGATCGGCGCCGGCCCGTTCACGAACGGACGACGTTGGCGCATCTTCACCACCCACAGGAACTTCAGCCAACGACGGGAGGCGAGACGATGAAAGCATTCGGCTACCCAGATTACTAAACACAACTACAACCACCATCTAGCACAACAACATAGTTACGTGACAAAAGCATACACACATATTAATCGATAGATTCAGAAGTTATTATCAAGATAATCTGTTAATAAACTCTCCACTTCACAACAAACATATTAGATCATTAAAAAATTAACAATTTCTGCAAATCACCACAGAATGCGATTCATTAAATCGCGAAAGGAAGAAAAAACATCAAAATGGGGAGCGGAGGGCGGAGGGAGGGTGGGAAGTCAATATTTGATGTTCTATCCTTGTGTGAAATTTAGCTATATTCTAAAAAGTACTACTATAGAAATCGACTTTTTGGCGCAACACGAGCTTAAAACTAATCACGCATCAAAAATAAAAATAATAAAGACAGGCAAACAGCTGAGGCCACAATTGGATCTCCGCAAGCGGAATGGGTGCAAAGCCCGTCCATCACGCACAGATTGATGTGAGATTCTTGAATTTTTCGTGTTTTCATTACTGGAAAAGAATGAAAGTAGTTGTGATGAACCAATTCCCGCAACTGCTCTCTTTGCGATGCAATACTAAACAAGAGCGGAAGTGGTGCAATTATAAGTGATGCAGCTCACAACGAGCACAATTCCAGTATTTTGGAAGGTACGCCTTAATTGGTCAACTAATTCTGTCATCGCTTAAGGGCGGTCATTTCAGGGTCAACCGTCACGTTGGACCAATTTCGAAAATTTTACGACCCCCTCCCCTTCTAGAGGGCCTCGATACGACCCCCTCCCTCAGGGTTAACCCTTTACCACCATCCTCCACCACCCTCGCCTGCCATCGCCATCATAGGGCGATTCTATAGTATTTCTATAGCATACATCGCTTTGATGGAGACCAGTCGACACAGCGACACAAAATTTTCGCACTCAAAATCCCAGCCGACACCCTAATTCGCTCTCCGTTCCATAAAAAACTATCCTTTCCCTTACTGTAACATTGACGGTACCTCGCAAAATACGACCCCCCTCTGTTTGGACTCTGTCCAACGGACGGTTGACCCGGGGTCCTTGGGCCAATTTATGCCAAATTTGCTTGGGAGGGTGATATCACTGACTTGTAAATCGGCTGGTGACCACAATAATTGCATTAGGCCAAGGTTCATCGAACGCGCCACTGCGAATTGAACGAAAACTAGGATGCATGGCGCACCCCAAAAGGGATATCATTGCCGAATGTTTGAACCAGAAAATCCTTTTAACAATCCACGTCTATTCAGTTGCCAAATAAGCCCCAGTAAAAATGCATCGACTCGAATCGAGAAAAACAATAAACATCTGGCGGCAAATAGTAAGTAAACAGTAATCGTTAATTAATTTCATACATAATAGGTTGTAGGGAAAGTTCTCGCGGTTTTTGACACATATCATTACCTTAATTTTTTATCAACAAGAAAACATATTAGGAAACAAAGTAATCACCATCACGTTCTATCACTCTTCGCCATTTTTCGGGCAGACTTTTGATGCCTTCGGCAAAGAACTTTTCTGGCTTCGATTCAAAAAAGTTGCTCAACCAGAGCTCAACGTGCTTCGAAAAACCGCGAGAACTTTCCCTACAACCTAATAACTAGAAAGATTTCTAGTCTAATAGCTGTGTAGAGAAATAAATCAATAACAACAACAACAAGACCAGACCCTTGACAATTCAATGTCGTTGGCCTCGCGGGTAGTTGACCACATCGCAACGGTCTTGGCGGTAAATTTGCTATCGTGTTGCGAAACTTTGAATGTCTTCGGAATCCTGTCGATCCTGCCGTCGGCGGTGGCATGTTCGACGAAGACGGTAGCAGAAGCAACGAAGCAGCATCACTGAACCCAAAAACACACTACTACTACAACACAACTGCTACAACTAAAGCACATTTGCAATGTTATGAAGCGTTATTGACGTGAAACATCGTTGAAGACACAATTCAATGCAAAGCAACTTTGTGGTGCTTTTTTACTGTGCAGCTTACAAGAATCTAGCAAAAGGCTGCCAATATTCCTCTCATCCGATTCCTTCACACATAAGTACATCCCACTGGTGCGTGGAATTATAAGGGCAGATTCCAAGTCAAGGTGTAGGACATCACGCTCGAAAGTGATAGGGAGACAAAAGATCGTTGTAAAGGAAATCTAAAAAAAACACCGGAAATATTTGAAATAGTGTCGCCATTTTTGCTGGCCAAGGGCGGAATTTACGATTAGAACGTAGCCCATTAAAAGTAAGGTAAATTTGGTCAGTGCAGGGATGAAGAAAAAACCATGAGAAACGGTCCAGAACCGAGAAATGGGACCCCTTCCTTGCCCGTTGATTTCTGCATTGATGCGACTCTCATTGATGTTGTCCTTCAACGTTAACGTCTTGAAGCTAAACGTCTAGGGACCTGTGGCAAGTGGTTAGATATTCGCTGGGAGTGCCGCGCCGACAGCGCCGCGGGGAGGGCCATGCTAGTTCACGGCTGGCCTCCTTCTTCGACTTCGACCTTAAAGGCAGCGATTACGATAAAGAGGGAGCGCATCGGGGAAGCATATGCACCACACGAATCAGTTACTTGGCTGCCAGGAAGCGAGGTGTAGCGCTTTCACGACGAAAGGTGCGCTGGTTGCTGAGCAGGACTTCGAAAGCACTCCGCCCCCAAAAGCGATCCGCCCACTAGTTAGTTGGTGATTTGGACGAGCTGCGTTGCCAGCAGCGGCACAACTGAAGCAACTCGATTGGAGCGTGGTTTGGCATGTGTCACCAAACGCGTTGCGTGACTCGTTCATACGTCCGCTTTCTGAGCTGTTCTGTTCATGAGTGAAAACCAACGGCCAAAAAGGGGTCCCGTTTTGCGTTTTCTTGACGGATTTCTCCGCTTTTTTCGCCACTGGCGTACCATTGAGCACCACCAGTCTCCTATAAACCCTTCTTGAATCTATCGTAATCACTGCCTTTAAGGAAAAATACATCGGGAAGGGTTCTTTCACGA